TTTATCCATTCACCAGTCAGTGGACACTTAGGTTATGTCCATGTCTTGGCTATTTTAAATAATGCTGCTATGAACATGAGGGTGCAGATATGTCTTTGACATAGTGTTTTCATTTCCTTCTTATATATTCCCGAAAATAGAATTGCTGGATCATACGGTTGTTCTATTTAAAATTTTTAAAAATTTGTTGTTATTATTGAAGTACAGTTGACATACAGTGTTATATTAGTTTCAGGTATACAACATAGTGATTTGACAATTCTATACATTATTCAAAGTTCACCATGATAAGTGTGGTCACCATCTGTCACCATACAACATTATTACAATATTATTGACTATATTCCCTAGCTGTACTTTTCGTCTCCATGATTTATTTTATAACTAGAAGTTTGTACCTCTTAATCCCATTCACCTCTTTTGCCCCCCGCCCCCGACACACACACCTCCCTTTGGCAAGCACCAAGCTTGTTTTCTGTATTTAAGAGTCTGTTTTTTTATTTGTTTCGTTTTTAGATTTGACCTATCAGTGAAATCATATAGTATTTGTCTTTCTCTGACTTCACTTTGCATAATATCCTTTAGATCCATCCATGTTGTTATGAATGGCAAGATTTCATTCTTTTCATGGCTGAGTAATATTCTATTGTGTATATATACATGTTCTTTATCCCTTCATCTGTTGACAGAAACTTAGGTGGCTTCCATATCTTGGCTACCGTAGATAATGCTGCAATAGACATAGGGGTGCACGTATCTTTTCGAGCTAGTGTTTTTGTCTTCTTTGGGTAAATGCCAGTAGTGGAATTACTGGATCCTATGGTATTTCTCTTTTTAATCTTTTGAAGAGCCTCCATCCTGTTCTCCACAGTGGCTGCACCAGGTTACAATCCCCCTTTTCCGACATCCTCATCAACACTGTTATCTCTTGTCTTCTTGATGCTGGCCAATCTGACAGGTGTGAGGCGATACCTCATTGTGGTTTTGATTTGCATTTCCCTGATGAGTGATGTTAAGCACCTTTTCCGTGTTCCCGTTGACCATCTGTACCTCTTCTCTGGAGAAATGTCTCTTTGGGCCCTTTGCCTGTTTTTAAATTAAACTTGTTTTTTTCACTCTTGAGGTGCATGCACTCTTTATATATTTTGGATATTAACCGCTTATCAGAAATGATTTGCAAATATTTTTTCCCATTCTGTAGGTTGTCTTTCCACTTTGCAGATGATTTCTTTTGCTGTGTGGAAGCTTTTTGCTTCGATGTAATCCTGCTTGTTTATTTTTTATTTTGTTGCTTTTTTATTTTGTTGCTTGCACTCTAGGTGTTAGATCCCAAAAATCATTGCCAAGTCCCATGTCAAGGAGCTTTTGTCCTACGTTTTCTTCTGGGTGTTTTATGGGTTCTGGCCTTACAGTGGAGTCCTTAAAGCATTTTGAGTTAATTTTTGTGAGCGGTATAAGATAGGAGTCTATAATGGACACTTTTGATAAAGATTAAAAAAAAAAACAAAACACTATCTGAACAGGTAAAGAGATAAATGAGGCCCTCAGAAGGACACTGAGAACAACAGTTCAGTTTGCCAAGATGGCCTCCTGGCAGACAGCACAGTGGGTTTGGACAGTGGCCAGGGACAAGCAGAGAGGGTAAAATGTGTACCTGGCAAGGGGGTTGGAAGGCAGGGCACAATGGAGGAGGCAGTGGGCGATGGGCCTACCTCACTTGTTCATGCAACAGGCGTCTATTAGCCCACCTACTCTGTGGCGGACCCCAGTTACCTGGGATATATCAGCAGCAAACGTGAATCCCCCCACGGCCGGGCAGCTGATATCCAGGGTATAATGTGTGGAGAGCAGCAATAGGCCCCGGGGGAACCTGGCATAGGCATCCCCATGGCTGCCTCTTCCTGGTGATGCGTTTGTAATAATAATGTTAATTGCAATAACAACAGCAGTTATATAGAGAACCTACTGGGTTAGTCAAGACCACCTCAGTTTTAAGTCATAGAAACTCAGCCTGAACTGGCTGAAGCAAATAAAACAGAGAAATTCGGTTTGTGTGTTAATTCCTAAAAATACCAGGGGTTAACTAGCTTCTGCCGTGACCGGCTGCGGGAGCTCCAAAGACATTAAGCATTCTGTGTCCTGCTCCACCTCTGGGCTCTGCTGCCTTCTGACATCATCCTCAAACGGCCAAATAGTAAAAATGACCTCTGATAGCTCCAAGCTAATGATCTCAGCAAAGAGCAAGCACTTCTTTCCTTATTGTTCCAGAAACTCCAGACACCATGACAAGGACCATTCTGACTTGGGTCTCCTGCCCAGGCCTGAGCCAGTACTTGAGGTCAGTATTGGGATGCGCTGATTGGCCTGGGTCTGGTGACAGGCATGGGGCTGGCATGGGGGACAGCCCTATATACTCAGTAGGAACTGAGAATGGCGGAGGGCGATTTTCAAGAGAGCAGGGCTCTACTCGGAAGAGGTGACATTGAACAGAGAGCATCAACAATGGTGTCTACGCCTACTATGTGCCAGGCACAAAACCAAGTGTCGGTTAAGCCTCTCAACAGTCCTCTGTGGGAAGACCATTCTTGTCCCCATTTTACAGGTGGGGAAAGTGGCGCGGACAGGCTGAGCACCTTGCAGCATCACCTACTAGCAAGTGGGGGATCAAGGAGCACGGACTCTTCTCTACCGGATGGAGGTTAGTGGGGCTCTTGAATACAGGGGGGGAGGTCAGAGAGGATTTGACGGATGAAACGCAGTGAATGGCTTGCGGGGTTGGGGGGGGGGAGATAAAGGGGAATGATCTGATGAATTTGGCACTGTCCCTGTCCCCCTACCTACTCCCCGTCCCAGGGCGATGCTGTAATGCATCCTTCTGTTTGTCCCACGTTCTCTGCAGCAGTGTAGTGCAGACCCCGGACGCACGCTGCCTGTGCTCCCCAGGAAATGGAGCCTTTGGCTGGGGATTGAGTGCTGCTGACTTAGCGGGGGGACTGCGGGGCAGCAAGAGGGAGGGAAAAGAGGGGACGGAGGGGAGGATGGGAAGCGATCCGAGGTGATGTGGAACCACGTGGTCACTGCTTTACGTGGGAAACATGCCTCAAATGGTCCGAGGGAGGGAGGTGAGGGATCTGTCCTCCCACCTCGTCTCCTACTGCTCAGAATGAGTCCCTGAGAACAAACTCCCTCCATGCTTCAGGGGTGTGCTCTCTAGTCCCTTTGGTGGCCACGTGGGAGCCAGACCCTTTACCCTTGGACGTGGCCCGGAAAGGGTCAGCCTGTGGGGAGGTAGCTGGTCAGCTGCAGGGGGTAAGAGCCCCAGCAGAGGCAGAGCAAGCAGCCAGGAGTCTGGTGGACAGGGGAGCAGACAGAATCTGTGGAGGCACATGAGATGCACGCAGTGCCCCCGCACTCGGCGTCTTATGATACACCTACGTCTCCGTACCTCAAGTTTCCCTCGCAGTAAACTGGGGATAACAGCATCTCCCCTAGGGTTGAGAGGATTTGAGATAATGCCTGTGAAGTACTTAGCAGTGTCTGCACCACCACCACCCTGCCCCAGGCGGTGAACTGGACTGGCCTTGACTTTGCCTGGAGAACTTGGGGAAAGCTTCATGAAGGGTGTGGTCCTGGCTAAGCTGTATTAGCCAGGATTCTTTCAGGCTCAAATGAAGGAGAGGAAAGCCCAGAGGCGCATCTGGCTTTGGCACAGCTGGACCCAGGGACGACTCTTGAGTCCCTAGGGAGTTGACCCCTGTTGAGTTCACCACATGCACACTTGACTTCCAAGGGCTGACCTCAGCCGAAGAGAAGACCAGGAGGGACAGATCTGGCTGAAGCACCTGTGAGAGGAGACGTGGGACTAAATCAGGGCTTACCAACTTGACCTCCTCCGACTACAGGGATGGGGCCATGATTTGTTGGTCCCAAGCCAGAAAAAGAAAAAGCAGGTCTCCAGTTTGGGCTGGAGCGATTTCAACTCCAAATCTTCATACAAGCTTATTCGGTGATTATCAGCCCAGATAGTTCTGGATGCGTCTTTATGTGTTTGGGAAAGTTGATTCTGGCTTCACGAATGCAGTCTGTTTAGTAGATATAATCTCACACTGTGGAATCCAAGCGGAAATAAAGGACACGAAAAGATAAAGAACATCCTGACCATCCCTCCGGGCACGGACGTCCTTGAGCACCAGGGTTCCACGAGCCCCCTTCCCAAGCAGTCCGAGGTCGTTTATTAAGAACAGCCATGCACCCAAGCTACATCACTGCCCTACTTGTGTTCCCGGTGCAAGCCACAGGATCCCTCAGCCGTGTGACCTTGGACAAGTCATTCTACCCTTCTGACCCTTGGTCACCTCAACTGTAAAATGAGACTGATGTCTAGGCACAAAAGTGGAAACGTATGCCTACACAAAGATTTGTGTTCAGTGTTCAAAACAGCTTTATTCGTAATAGCGACAGTCTGGAAACAGCCTAAATGTCCAGCATCTGATAGATGGCTGAGCAAACTGGTACATCCCTACAGTGGAAGGTGTCTCAGTAGTAAGGCATGAAACTACCGAGGCGCACAGCATGGATAAATCTCAAAGACATGCTGAATCAAGCCAGACACAAAAGAGTACACACTAAATGATAATATTTTAAAAATTCTAGAAAAGGCAAAATCAATCTCTACAACCAAGGCAGGTCAGTGGTTGTCCTAGAGCTTGAAATGTTCTGTATCTCTATGGTGGTGGTAGACAAGGGTTTTCACATTTGATAAAACTTATGACTTGGGCACTTAAAATGGGTAGGTTTTATTGCATGTAAAGTATATCTCAGAACTGATTTTTTTTTTTTTTAATGAGACCAAAGAAAAATACTGCTTTATTAGGACCCTTTCTATGACAGAAACCCAACTCAGGATGATCTGAGCAAAAAAGAAATGCATTGGCTCATATAGTCAGGTTAATCCAGGGGTGTATTTAGCTTCAGGCATGGCTGGATCCAGGGGCTTACTGATGTCCAGACAGCATATTCTCTCCATCTATGTGATTTTTCCTCTTTGTTGGCTTCGACCTCAGGTAGAGAACACGATGGCCACCAGCAGCTCCATCAATCTGGCAAATCCCATGAAAAACAAATGCCTCTCTCCCCATAGTTGCTACAAAACCTCCAAGGGGGAGTCTCCATGTCCATCCTGGGATCCATGCCTGCCTCTAAAGTCAGGGTGGGTGAGAGGTGATCCTCTGAAGGGGAAGAGGCATTATCAGGAGAAAGGGCCATGGACGCTGGGTAGGCAGAGCTGACAGATGGCCGTCGCATTTCCCCACATCCCCAGGGGGTGGTGGTATCGCTCATTCCTACCTCCAGCCACCTCTATAAGGGCCAGGCCTTAGGAACAGGCCCCAAACTCATTCAAGGCTCAAGCGTGCCTTTCTATGATGTCACAGGCCTGCCTGTTAGTTAGATACAAGAGTCAAAACAGAAAGCGAGCACTATCTCTTCCCCACCAGCCAAGGCAAACAGAAGGCCCTTCCTGCCTGTGTTGGGCTGTCTGCACCCAAGGAGGCTGGCGGGGGAGGGAGGAGCGCTCTGCCACAGCTACTCTGGCCCAGGCCCAGACGGAACGCCTTGGAGTTGGCATCCGGACTTGCAGGACAAACGTCAAGGAGGGGAAGGAGGCCTCCGTGGGCTCTGGGTCTCGGTGGGCCCGACCTGAGAGGAATGCAGCATCTCAAGCCTGAGCCACCATCCCTGCAGGGTCTGGCCAGGGTAGGAGGGCCAGAGAGAAGCGGAAGGAAAGGTCATCTTAGCAGAGATAAGGACGGAAGGCACCATCCAACACACTGAGACCCAAACCTTACTTCCTGAGCAGTGCAACTACATTAAGGGAGCATCTTCTCCATGCCAGACACCTCCCAGGGTTCTCTGTTGAAATGTCCTCCTGGAAGGGGTGAGAAAGGGAGCAACGACTTCATGTGTGTATTCAGAAGCCTTATATTCGGACACATTTCTACAGGGCACTATTATGCCCACCAACCAAATGAAGCAACAGACTCAGTAGTGGGGAGCTTTACCCAGGGCCCCCAGCTAAATGGCTGCCCCTGATCAGACTCCTGGGCAAAGACCTCTCCCTCCCCACTCCCCAGCTCCAGGAGCTCAAAGCTCTGGCCTCAGCCTCATCGCTCTAGGATGGGAGTTGAGCTGAGGTTACTTCTGACCAAAGTAAGCCAAGGCAGCTTAGGGCCATCTCCCAACCCAGTCCCCCAAGGAGCATGGGCAAGAAAAGCCTGAGCTGAGGTCCACCGCCCTGTTTCCCACCAAGGTGCTGGCTGAGTCTGCCTGCCCAACCATCCTGTTTTCTGGGAAGCAGGTTAAATGGATGTCATTGCCAAGAGTGGGCAGTCTGCTGCAAAACAGCTGGTGGGGCGCAGGGGGAGAGCCAGACTAGAGCCAAGGCCAACAAGGGAGGGCGTGGCCGAGGCTCAGGCCCTCATTGCCCAAGGAAGCCTGTAGGCCTGGCCCAGAACTGCTGGGCTCTGGGAAAGCAGTGTTCTCAGCTCCAGGCTCCACCCATCATGTTTGAGGCAGGCTGGCCCTCCAGCTCTGCAGACTGGCCCAGGAACAGCCCACTGCTTCCTGGAGCTCACAATGCGCCTGCCCATGAGTTCTCTGCACTGGCAGCCTGCCCAGGTGGCCCTCCAGCCAGGCTCCTGGAGGCTAGCTCTGTAGGAAAGAGGCAGGGGCAGGGACAGCCTTCTGGAGACCTAGGCACCCCCAGCAGGGGTCCTGACCCTGAGGGCTGCCAGCTCAGAATGGGGCCCAGATGAGCAAGCCCCAGGCAGGCTGGGCTCCTTCCTGGACACCTCTATCCAGGCAAGGAGCAGGGAACCGGGGGCCTCTGCCAACCCCCCAGCTGCGCCACCTAGGCCACTCCTCTGGCATGTTCTGAAAATGGGGTTAAATCTTGCCCTGCCCAGAACTGGGATCCCAGGCCACATGGCAGGCTGAATGGGGGCAGCTGTGGGGGGCATGCCGGCCAGGTGCACACTCATATCAGGAAGACCTAGGGACAGGAACCCAGCCTCCCTGGGGTGCAGATACCTCCTCTATGAGACAGTAGCACCCACCCACTCACCTCCGGTTACTAGATGACCAAAGGCTTCAGTATTAGTAAGCATCATGATATGCTTGTTAGGACCATGTGCTCATTATAAGTAATTATGACCGAAACCACTGGCCTCAGGAGCCAGAAGCTACAGCGCTGAACCCCAGCTCTGCCACATCCTAGCTGCGTCTTCCAGTGAGGCTCCTGGTCACTTGCGCCTCAGCCCAGCCTATACAATGGGGATCCAAAGAGGACTCTGAGCTGCAGAGGAAGTATCGTACATGAAACTCGGCCAGTTGCCAATGGTCACCTCTCCTCGATCAGACTCTGAAGGCAGAGCCACAAGAATCTTCCAGCTCTAACATGTGGCCATGTAGTCGGAGAGTTCTCCCGAGGAACAGCAGAGATACCAGTCCCTAGGTGCACTCTGCCCCCCATCCCTGGCAACCCCGGATCCAACCTGCCTTTCTGGGGAGGGACAGGCACTGACATTTGCAGAAGGCTCCCCAGATTCTGAGTGTCACCAGAGTCGAGAAGCAGTGCCGCAGCTCACTTGGAGATCCAACAGGACAAAGCCTGCAGTTCCAGCCTCCTCACCAACTTCATCAATCTTGGTTCAGAGGAGAGACCTAGGGTGGCTCCATTACCCGCCACCCGCCTGAGAGTTCTGAGCTTCCTGGCTGCAGGCCATCGGCCCATCGCACTTGGCAGAAAGAAAAAAAGAGACTCTGGCTCCCAAGGGCACAGGGCCATGGCTCAAATGGGTTATAAGCCTCACGCCTTTTAAAAGCCCCAATCCTGCTAACTGGGCGGGGGTGTTATGCACATAGGGGAAAAGTGCTGGAAGGATCTATTTCATTAGCAGACATTATCTCTAGGCATGGGCATTTTTATAAGCCTTTTCATCCTTCTGTATTTTGAAATGCTCTACAGTGGAAGGCGGTTCTTTTATAGTTGGGGGAGAAAACAGTACTCAGCTTTATTTTTCATGTAGGACCTTTTTTAAAAAATTGATTTTTTTGGGGGGGGGACAAGTGTTCTGTGTAAAGGAGGAGGAACACACTCAGGAATAAGGTGTGAGGGGGATGGAAGGGCAGGGCAAAGGGGCCTCAGGGAGGGACAGTTGATTTAAAGTTAGCAAACAATTAGCTATGAGGAATGACCAAGCACCCTATGACCATTGTAGGTGGTGAGAATCTCATGTCGCAAAAGCCCCATCCACCTCTTTCCAAGCAGCGAGAAACATCACTCTGTACCTTGCCCCCCACCCCCAACCTCACGTGAACCTTTACCTTGACGCTGTCCCTTCTCCTGGGCAGAAGAATGCTGAGGCTCCTGAGCAAACCCAGCCCTTTAAAAATGGTCTCTGGGAGAGCCTAGGGAGCCAGGGTCCAGGCTGGGCGGAAGGATGATCATGCTGTCAGGGTCCTGCAAACAGCCATCTTCTCTGGTGACGGGAGCTTGTGAGTCTGCGCCTGGAAACCCAAGAAATACCTAGAGGATTAATTTCCCTTGCTGACCTGTGAGGTCGACGAGCCCTGGGGTGGACCCCAGGAGCTCAGAGTACTGCTTGCTGCCTGTTCGCCTCCCTGTCTGTCCATGCACGGGCAGGCCACCTGCTCAGCCTCAGCCGGGGGGCAGAGGGTCGGGGGAAGACTCTGTTGCTTTGGGATCTGGGGACATTCTTGCGGACTGGCGTTCCTGCGTTGAGGGGGACATGTCACAAATTTGGTATTTCTTCTTGACAACCCCCCAGTAAGCAACCCTAAATCCACTCAAGACAAGGCCTTGGCTCAGCCAACATATCTGTGGGGTAGGCTGGAAAAATGGGATAGAGAACATCCAGCCAAGAAAAAGCAAGCTCCCAGGGCACAGCGGGGGTTGGCGGGGAGAAGCCCTTTGAATCTCCCGGGGAGTGTATTTTCAAAATGGCTCTCAGGGAGTGAGCTGGGCTCCCTCTGTTTTAAAACATAGTACAACTTCCTGCCCCTAAACAGTTCCACCTTCTCAGGAGAGGAGAGTATCCGGGCAAGCCCAACACTGCTGCTCTTGACATAACTGGCCCGAAAGGCGCCCATCCTTGGGCCCCACACATGCAGCCGGGCTCCCAGAACCTTCACCACACACAAACTGGGGAGACTCTGTATTCTCCTGAGTTCCAATCTGCGCAGGACTAGCTCAATGCTCGGCCTTCCCTAATCCTCCACCAAAAAAAAAAAAAAAAAAAAATTGTAAAAATATATGCAAATCAATGCACCGTCCCAACAGAATTGTTTTAATAATTCCCTCTCACTTCAAGAGGATGGGGGAGGACATCCCAGTTGGCCCCCAGGAAGCCCTTCCTGTCCCAGACCGGCCAGGTGGGCGAGGAGGGGTGGCTTGGCGGCCCGATGCACACTGCAAGAACAATAAGGATTTTTAGGGGCATTATGACTGAGTCAGAAAACACAGCTGCCCCTGAAAGTCCCTCATTTTTCTTGCTGTCCTTGAACAGTCTCCAGGTAAGTAAGCAGTCCACCGGCTGGCCCAGGGGAGCCGAGGTGGAGATGGCTGACCCTCACCTGACCCTTGAAGGCTCTGTGGCCGGTAGGGTAGCTGCTGGGTCCCTACCGTGGCACGACCCTCCCCCAGGTGTGGCCTGGCGGGTGGCCAGCCTCACTGCCCCACAGCATGTCCAGGAATGAGCAGCCTTTGCTCACGCCGAGCCAACTCTAAACCCAGCGCTTTCTGCCCCCAGAGAGCAGTGGACCGGAACGCACAGGAATCCCAAGTGGCCGAGCGCAGATCCAAGAACCAGGGAATGCGGTTAAGACCTGGGAGAAGGGTCATCTACCTGGCCCTTGTCGTCCCCTGTGGGGCGTGGACCCGTCTTGTGGAGACTGAGCTCCTGACAAGCCGAGGGAAAGTCACAGGCCTGACGTGGGATGGGAACGTGCAATGGGAACACAGGCGAGTCAGCTCCAGACTTCCTGGGAGGCCAGGCTGGGTCCCGGTAGAGAGGAGAGTATGGGGCGGGGGGAGGTCATAGTGGCTCGACTCCTAAAGCCCTCTTGAAGAACAGCTGAGAGACCCAAGACTCGAAGGGTCAGAGGGGACCTGAGCTCTGGTTCCACTCCCTCCAGCAGCCATGGCTTTGGTGACCCTGTCTCTAAAATGGGCCCAACAGGAACTAAGCTCCCACCATCTCTCCCCTTCCAGAGGCAATAAGAGAATTTCAGCTCTCTTCTAGGAACCAAAGGGTCAGCTCCTGAAAAGCCGACAGTCACTGGCCCTCTGTCCCTGGTGGGAGGTAAGAAGGTGCAGCATGTGAGACCCAGCACGCCGTGGGGGAGCTGCTGTGTGAACGGCGGGCTCTGTGTAGCCTTCCCCTGCTCTAGCACTTTCTGCCCACTTCCTCGGAGGTGGGTTCTGGAAGAGGCAACAGCATCAGGCGGGCCCGAGTCAGGAACACAGGTCCCCGAGCCCTACAAACACACCCTATGATGGGCAAAGACAGCTGGTATGTCCCGGATGGTTTTCAGGTTCAAATCGACCAGCTGACAGGCTCTGCTGGGAAGCGCAGATGGGCAGAAACTAGGGGTGTGAGGGGGTGGTCAGAAAGTGGCCAAGAAGGCGAGAGGATGGTGACCCCCTTTCTTTTCTTATGAGAGGATGAAAAGGGCTTCCAGAATCAGAGCCTGGTTTACAGAAGGATGAGCCCTCTGCCCCCGCCCCCCCCCCCCAGTCTGGGCAGGCCTCTGGGGCAGCAGAGGCTCCCCTCCACAGACCCTGGGCATTTGACTCCTCGGAACCTCGTGGTGCAGAATGCCACCTATCCATGGCTAACTTGTGCCCTGAAGCCAGGCCATTCCAGCCAGGGCCCCAGCTCAGCTGGAACCTGCCCCACCCAGCCTGATGCGCACGCACCCCTTGGGGGGCCTGTCATCAGTTGTGCTGTGTGGCCCCGCTGTGGTGAAAACAGACCCAGTGCCACGCTGTTTACTTGCTGTGTGACCGTGTATAAGTTACCCAGCTTCTCTGTGCCTTGGCTTCCACATCTGTGAACAGGAATAAGCAGCCTACTTTGCAGGGTGGCATGAGGACCGAAGGGAAGTATACAAAGCACTTAGCGGGTTCCTGACAGAAGTGTATCACCCTCTCTGGGTCACCAAAGCAGTTTCCCCCTTCCCCTCAGACCCCCAAGGGTGGGCGCTGGGCCAGGACCCCGTGGAAGTTGCCAAAGACTCATGTCTTGGAGAATTCCTCCCCGCCGGGAAGAGCAATCGGGATGGAGGTCCGGGCACAGACCTGGCTGCCCCCGTGAGCACGAGGGCTGTGCCTTCGCCCCACACCACAGGTCCTTCCTTGTTCCGACCGAGAGGACGTATGCCCAGAAACCCAGCCGCCAGGCCATAGCCTCACCCTCGCCCGACTATGTTATGACAACTGTCCTCTTGCCCACAGTCTTCTGCCCTAACCAACATCACAGCCAAACGCTCCTCTGGCAAAACCCAAGCCATCCCCCACACACGAGGACCGAAGCCATCTGAACTATCCGATGACACAACTGCATCGGGCTTGGCCCGCTCAGAAGCCCCAGCCTGCAGTCTGTGCAACTTCTGTGTGAGCCGGTCCTGCCGCCTCCTGGCTCCACGGGGGATGGAGCGAGAGGGTGAGACCAGCTCCTGGCTTCGCAGCCACAGAACCTTTGCTGGGCTGTCCAAACCCTCTGCGCTTCAGTCGGCTCTTCTGCAAGATCCGGGTAACTACCTGTTTCAGGGGCGGCTGGGAGGATTGAAGTTCATGCCCGTCAGAGGCTTAGAACTCTGCCTGGCACAAAGCATTCCATCGGGGTGAGCCATCCTGATCCACCCCCTGCCGTGTTCTTCTAGACTCAGCTTCCCTCTTCTGGGTGACCTTTCCTGCCCCTGGCCACGTTCTTTCTTTCTCCCTGCTCCCCCTGGGCCCCCGCTTGAGAAGCTGCTTTACCCACTGGCCCCTGGCAGCACGGTCCTAAAACCACATACGTCCCAGTCACACGCACGCATCACCAGTGGTGGCTCTGGGGGCCCAGTCTTCACTGCAGACAGGCTCCTTGCGTGATGCTTGGGGACACCCGAGCTTAAGAACCACCGCTCAGGCCATCCACTCACCATGGGGCAGGCAGTGGGGTCGGGGTGGGGGGCTGCCCCGGGTTGTGGCCAGAGGACGCCCCCCAGCCGTGCTAGGCATGTGAAAGTGACCCACTTGGGCATGGCTGACAGCGGAGCTCACCCATTCCTGGTCCTGGGGCCTTCCCTGAGCCTGGCCCGTGCTGATCACACATTGATGACCGAGGGCCTGCGCCACCCCCACCCCGCTGCTGGGGGCTGAAAAGCCACCCAGGCTCTCAGACAAGCTGCAGAGTGAAGAGCTCCACGCTGAATGTGGCGTCCCTAAAATAGCCAGCAACCCACAAAACCATGGTGGAAAGAAAAAGAAAAGCCAACCAAGAGTTATCAGCCCTTGTTTGGAATTTGCTTCAGAAAGAAAATATGTGCCAGTCCCACCCTGACGAGGGAAGGAAGTGGTCAGAGGGCAACAGTCCTGAAATGTCTTGGGGGAACCCCTCCTCTGGAGAAGCTACTGAGCACACAGACAGGGATGCTGGGGCCCGCGGCAGGGGCTGGCTGAGGCAGTCTGGCCCTAGGGCCTGGAGAGGCCAAGCACACTTCAAGTCAGGGGCCAATCTTCCCTGGCAGAGCGAGGTGCGTCAGGCCAGGTAGAGGGATGCTGGTGCTCCAACTTAGGGAGTGGGCTCTTGCAGGCCCTCCTTCCAGCATCTACCCAGTCAGCCCCAGGACAGCTGCTCTGGAGGCGCGAGCCCGAGGGCTCCACTGGACCAGAACCTCTGCTGCAGCAGAAAGCCGCCTTGGATTCGCTGGCCCCATCCGCCCTTGCTGGCTGTTCACAGGCTGGGATGAACAAAGCCAGGAGACCTGAAACTCATCCATCAGAGTCCCTGGGTTTACAATAACCCATCTCTCTCAGCCAGAAATTCTTTTGCTAAGAACACCTCAGCTCCTAAATGCTTACACTCACCCCTTCAGCTCCCCACCACCCCCAAACTCTCCAGCCCTGCCTAGCCTGATGCCGATCAGCCAGTGTGCCTTGGGGTTGGCTCGGCCCCCCGCCCCGCCCCCCGCCAAAAAACAAACAAACAAACCTCCTCAGTGAGTGGAGGTCCAAGCGCCCCTGGGCAAGGCTGGCCCGGAGCCTGAATGCATCTGTCCACACAGATACCCACTGCTACTAATGAGGCTGGTCCAGGGAGGCAGCGCCCTCCTCTCGTCCACAGCTCCACACCATCTGGAGGAGCCAAAGCCAGGCGTGGGTCGGTCATCAGAGCCACAACTTT